GTATCATTACAGTTTAAATATTTTATGTATTTTAAAATGTCATTTAGTCCTTTGATGGCAAAGCTGAATGTTACGCCAGTCTTCAGTGTCACATGATTCTATTGATTTGGTACTCAAGAAACATTCCTAACCTTTTTTCTTGTGCTTTAACACTAGAACTACCAAGAGAGTCATTTTGACTCTTTTTCAATTTTGAAACCCATATAACTATAATATCCTGACTTTTCCTAAATGTGTGTATATTTTACTATAACATTGTTATTTTATTAAAATTACAAAACACAAATGACTTCACAAAAGTTTCTATCTTAATGGCCAAAGCAGTAAAATTGTTGACTGTTGACCGTTCGCATAACAGACGGCGTATAATTTCTGCTTTTGCTGTGTTTTTTTTTTATTTTATTTTTTTCGCAGTTAAACATGCACATCTCTGTTACCTAGCAACTTTTGTTCTAGTTGTTTTTATATTCTATTGCTAAGCTAAAATTCCCGTTTGTAAAAAAGTAGGGTGGACACCTCCAATACAACAACCGCTGTCATTCAATCTGCCACGGTTCCAGGTAGGCTATGTTTGGCTGCAAGAATATAGCCTGGCTGTTATCAATAATAGCCTACTTCAATGTTATGACAAAATAGCCATAATAATAGCCATAATAAAAATAATAATAATAATAATAGCTATTATTATTTTTATGCTAGTGTAATGCTATAGCTAATGCTAATTTTAGCCCCGACAAGACTGATATTGTGAAATAAAACAAACTTAGGCTTTTTTTAGCGACATATTTTAGAAATATATTTGTTGGCATTTAGACTTTCAAATACAACATTTTCACTGCGGTGAAAAACTTTTGCTCTCCCGCTTGCCGGACACAAAGTGAGGCACGCACATTCGAGAGCGGTCTACGTAGCTCTTACACAATTAAATATTACAAAAAAAATATTGTATTTTTAGAGTGATTCCATCATAAACTATGATGACAGACATTCAAAGCTTCATTGTAAAACCTCAAAAGAAGCTTCGAATGTAAATATGATATGACAAAAATGGCATTCAGTTCAGTCTAGTATGAACGGTCAGAATGACCTTTATGGCCATTCTAGTAGTTATAGAATTCCGGTAGTTCTAGTGTTAAAGGTGACATATCATGAAAATCTGACTTGTCCAGGTTTTAAGTGCTATAATCAGGTCCCCGGTGCATCTACCAACCAAGGAAACGTGAAAAAGATTAACCCAGCAACTTTGTTTTGGTAAGCCTTTTTCTGCAAGCGTCTGAAAAAACGAGCACGTCTGATTTCGCTCCCCTAGTGACGTTGCAAAGGCTTTTGATTTCGCAGGCGACAATGGTGTACCAGCTCTAATGCCATGGTGAAAGTTTGAGCAAAACTC